TGGAAATTAAACCATATATTGTTGTGAAATCTGCTGTGCTTTGCACAGGGACGTAAATGACGTAAATGGAGGCTAATCTTAGTGTGAGGGATTTAGGTTAGCTATGTGTGGTAAAAGAAAACGTCTGCTGTGCTTTGTCAATGAATTATTGAGGGAGACCGTAACATTTTCTTCTCTGGCAGTCTTAAAATATAATAGGATAAACTTTCATCTTGTTCATGGCAAGGGCATGGCCCTGCTTTACTACCCTGTTATTCTCTGATATGTGGACAAACTCTTAACAGTGCTTTTCTGAGGGCTTACTTCTCCCAAAAGTGGCAGAAAGAAATAATGGTTAGACTATGATGTAAGAGAGACTTTTATTAATCCTTCACCTACACTTGCCTTGAGGACTCAAGAGGGCATGTCTTCCAAAAGTGTGAGACTGCTCAACTTTTCATTTTTAAATATTAAAATCACTGTAACATTCTACTCTGACTAATCCAGTGTAAAGACGGGAAAGATTAGTGTCACTAGGATATAGTTTTACACGAGCAAATAATTTTAAATAGGCTTATATATCAGAGGTGGAAGCTGCTTAGACTGAAGGTATTTATGTCAGATTGAATGAGATAACTGTGTGTGGGGGAGAGGGGAAAGAAAGGAGGCAGAGAAGGGAGAAAGGAGTTCTGAAGACATCCTTTATTTACTATGTGCATGATCTGTGTAGAGGGAAGATCTAATTAAGAGGCTATAATAACCAAACATAGCTTGTATTTTCTTCCTTTCCATTTTCCTTCCTTTTTTTTTTTTTTTTTAAATAGAGAAATTTTTGCTATAGGGCATGAGTGCTTGCCAGAGTGACAGAGAGACAGAAAGTGTGAAATCGCCTCCCAGGAAGACGGCCAGTCTCTTCTTCTCCATTTTCCTCTTGGGATTTTGGGCACAAACACACACATGAGTTTTAAGCCACTGAGTCTGGGACTCAAACTGCAGTTGGCCATGTGGGAGTCCAGTGATATAACCATTATGTTATCTGCTGGTCCCTCTTTCTTTCTTTCTCCTTTATTTTTTCTTTATTTTTTGAAAAGATTTTTGCTATAGGGCGCGTGCACTTGCCAGAAAGACAGAGAGAAACAGAGAGACAGAAAGCGAGAAATCACCCCCCAGGGGGCATGGCCATGCCACAATCCCTTCTCCTCCATTCTCCTCTTGGGATCTTGGACATGCACGCACACACGCCCGGCGTGAGTTTAAGCAACTGGGATTTGAACCGTGGTTGACTACATGGGAGTGCAGCGACATAGCCATTAGGCTAACTGTTGGTCCCTCTTCTTTCTTTCTTTTTTACCCCCAATTGCCAGAGGATTGTGTATGTACAAAAGAGAGAGAGAGAAAGAGAGTGCAAGCAAGATAGAGAAGAAATCACCATTCAATGGATTGTGGTCATACTGCAATTCCTTCTCCTCTATTTCTACATTCCATAAAGATTTTTGGTATGCATGTACCTAGCATATGTTCAAGCCATCGAGGCAAGGATTTGAACTGTGATCAGCCATGTGGGATCTGGCTTCCTTAACCGCTAGGCTATGGAACTGGCCTAGATACAGTATTTTTTCAGAATATCTTTTTGTGTGTGTTTGTGCACTCAGGCTATAAGGTTGTACATGCATACACAAATATACATACAGAAGATATGACTCCTATATTATTTCCATAAAGGTATGAGAAAATATGGAAAATATTTTCTTTATTGAATCTTTTTGATTGCAAGGAAATTTAATTATTTTATTGAACAACTATTCATTGAACTTCTTGAGTGTAATCACTGTACTGAAAATGGGAGATAAGATATTGTCTAAAAACATTAAGGGGTTATTCCCATAGTGCAGCAGTTAAGCACTGCAGAGAGACAACCGTATTCTACATGGCTGACTAGAATTTAAGTTCTAACCTCAGTGACTTGAAGAACATGACAATCAAGTGTCTACATGCCCAGGATCCTGATGTGATGGAGAATTGGAAGAAAAAAGATTGCAGCATGACTCGGCCCCATTGGTGTGTGTGTGTGTGTGTGTGTGTGTGTGTGTGTGTGTGTGTGTGTGTGTGTGTGTGTGTGTGTGTGTGTGTGTGTGTGTGTGTGTGTGTGTGTGTGGGTACTTTCTCTTTCTTTCTCCCTCTCACTTTCCCTCTCTCTTGCACACACATGTCCCCTCTGGCATGAAACTGCCTTCAAATGACATTAATACATGGCAACAAACTTTTTAGTCAATGATGCACATGTAATTGTTAATTTGTATCGTTACTTGATGTCCTCAGAAGAGCAGTTTCTGTCACTTCAGAATAAACTCTCGACTTCTTAGCCTGGAGAACTTTTGCAGTCTGTCCTCCACTTTTTCTTTCAGCCTTATCTCCTAGCGTCTCTCACACCTATCTTATACTGTAGTCTTTCTTGTGCTCCTTCCTATGTATAGAGGATTTTCAGATAATTTTTAGCTCCTCATATGCTCTCTGTTTCTTCATGCCTTCTTGCCTGGGTCCTTGTGATTTTCCTCTCAAATGATGCTTTTCCTCCATTGGTTGCTACTCTTCCACTTCTCTATTTGTCTTTTCCACAAGGTACTGACATCCTGGAGGACAGAGATCATGACCTTTCCTGTGAGCCTCTAGCACTTAGTGTGGTCTTTAGCATGTAGTAGCCATGCCATTGGTGTGTTGAATAAAATGAATGAAAGAAGCAAAGTTAAGTGTAATCCAAATCTCTAGTGGTGATGAACTCCCTTACCTTTGGTTTTGTAAGTCTTAATTTCTCTTTCATTTTTGAAGGATAATTTCATTGGATATAATATCCTTGGTTTGTACTTCAGCATTTTGAATGTGTTGTCTCATTCCCTTATTATCTGTAGTTTCTGCTGAAAATCTTATGGAAGCTCCTTTGTATGTGAAAAGTTGCTTTTCTCTTGCCCCTTTCAAGATTTCTTATCTGTGACTTTTGGCAGTTTGATTATAATGTGTCTTCATATGATTCTCTTTAGAAATACTCCAGTTAGAATTCATTTCAGCTTCTTGATTTTATATACTTATCTCTTTCTTCAGATTTGAGAAGTTTTCAGTCATTATTTCTTCAAATAGGCTTCCCACCCCTTTCTCATTCTCTTCTTCCTCTGAGATTCTCATAATGCATATATTGATCCACTTGGTGATGACTCAGAAGTTCCTTAGGCATTCTTCACTTTCCTTCATTATTTTTTCCTTTTGCTTTCCTGAATCAGTAGTTTTAAATAAAATACCTTTAAGTTTGCTGATTGTTTTTCTGCTTAATTAAATCTGTTGTTCAACTTCTCTAGTGAATTTTTCAATTCAGTTGTATTCTTCAAATCTTTATTCTAAAATGTAGTCACTTTTTGTTGATATTGCTCATGCATCCTTTTCCTGTTTCACTTTGTTCTCTGTCTCTGTTCTCTTTCAGCTCATGGAGAATTTTAAAGATGGGTTATCAGATTCATTGTCAGGTAGATCATAGGTCTCTGTCTCATTAGGGTCAATTTTTAGAGATTTATTATGTTTCTTTGATTGGAAACAAAATAAAACTTATGCTGTCTTGTGATCTTTTTGTTGAGACTTGGGCAGTTCTCTCAGTCTTATGAACTGAGCTTGTTCAGGGGAAAACCTTCACCAGCCAACCCACCTGGAGATTCTGAGGACCTGACAAACATCATCTTTCCTGAGTGTGTGTGTTATTTCCCAGTTAAAGAAGTCTGCTTCAGTCCCACGAGCTCTTGTTCCCCTTTGTAGTGTTGTAGACTAGTTCTGCAATAAGCTTGACATCTATGCTCTTATTTTCAGTAGTCACAAACATCCAAAGTATACACTGGCATTTTTTTTAGTGATTTGAGTCCCTTGTAAAGCTAAAATATTGGATGCACATTTAGCTCTTCTCTTTCCTTTCCGAAGGAGAAGCTGGGAGTCTCCCCCCTCCCCCCCCCCAAGTGTTGTGCTGTGGTGGGTGGGAGGGGATATTGTAGGAAAATGCAACAAGTTTTGTTATCTACCTTATAAACATAATGGCTTTGCACTCACTTTGTTGCCATCTCTTAAATCGTATCTGTAGTTCTCATAAAGGCATTTTGGTTTGGATATTAAGTTGGTGAGTGTTTGGGGCTTCCTATTCAGAAGTCTTATGTTACTCTAATGTGTAATCCAAATCTCTGTTTTATAAAATAGGTAATACTGGTAAAATTTTGATAATTAAAATTGGTAGAGATGGTGGCACATGCATTTTCTCTCACTCCTCTCTCCAGTTATGGATTAAAGAAGTCAAAGTTGTTCCAGAATTCTAACTTTTCAATTTATGTCTCTGGCTATTTGTTTTCCTTTGCTAATAGTGGGTAATATTTAATAAGTGCTTACTGAACTGGCTCTATTGCCTAGTGGTTAAGGGGGCTGGAGACCACATGGCCAACCATGTAGCTTGAAAAACACATCAGGCATGTGTGTATGCATGGTCTAAATCCTGAAAGGATGGCAAAATGGAAGAGAAAGGAGTAAGTGTGACCATGCCCCATTGGGAGGTACTCTACTTCTCTCTCTGTCTCTCTCTTGCAAGTGTATGCATCCCTGGGAAAATTTTAAAAAATGCTTATTATTTGTCAGGAGTACCTCTTATTCCTGTTATATGTATGAATGTATTTATTTGTCATAATAGTTTTAAAAGGAAGTTACTATGATTATTCCTATCTAATGTGTGGGAAAACTGAGTTACACAGTTTAAATAATTTACTCAAGGTCATATAACTGATAATTGTCTCAAAGACAATTTTAAAAAGGCTGTTGTTTATATTTTATAAATTATAAATCTGTTTTTAATAAAATCATTTATTGTAACAGGCAACTTTTGAATTATTACAGATATTATTTTTTGTTGACTAAATGGACTAATTATGCTTCTGGAAATGTCTGTGGTTTACATATACAATTGTATAATGACATCAAAAATGTGTTGTTTTTTTTTTTTTTTGCAGGACAGAGTTTATTCAAAGAGGCAGGATTTCAATCACGGGGGCTGGATTTTTAAACTGTATTTTGGAAACTTTTGCCAGCACTTTCTTAAGACAGGGAGCCCAGAAGGTAAGCTTGTTTCTGTTTGAACCAACATTAATTTTAAGAAATCATGGGGATTCCAATAGGGTTATTGAATAAAGCTCAGGAATAGACTTAATGAGAAAAATTACAGTTAATAAACAAATATATGCAACAATAATTATCCTCAATAAGTATTACATAAATCCAAATCAGTAAAACTAGAGGTCCATTTTTGGCTCATTAAATTAAAAATGTGTGAATGAAGGACCAACAGATGGCATAAGGGTTATATCACTGGACTCCCACGTAGTTGACCACAGTTCAAGTCCTGGACCCGATGGCTTAAAACTCATGCTGGGCACGTGTATGTGCATGCCAAAGATCCCTAGAGGAGAATGGAGGAGAAAGGATTGTGGTGTGGCTATCTCTGCTGAGGAGTGATTTCTCACTTTCTGTATCTCTGTCTCTTTCTGGCAACTGTATGTGCCCTATAGCAAAACATCTCTCTCTTAAAAAAAAAAGTGTGAATGAAAAGTATGTGATAATATAGAAAATACTTATAGTCCAATTAAGAGAAATAATCCTAACAAATAACTGTATTTAAATACATACAATATCACAATTACTATTCAGTAAAAAAGGTAATAATAGCTAATGTTTTTTGAGTGCTTACTATGTCCTCCTTACTGATAAGAGAATTTTATCTCATATGATCCTCACAAACCTTTGAAGTAGCTTTTATTCATGTCCTGGTATTGTAGAAGAAAATACAGAGAACTTTTTATTGTCCAATTTTGTAGTTTCAAAGTCTATACTTGAGGGAGCTTGGGCTTCCATGAAGGTGATTCAGAGGCCACATGGAGTTATAAGGTCTTGTGCATACTACTTTAAGTGGAGCTCTTTTGTTTTTAATCTGTCTTACATTATATTACACATGGTATTTATGTATCCTATTTTCTGGCCTTAATAGCATTATTTAGAAAACTTGTTTGAGGCATGACCAGCCCTGTAGTGGGGTGGTTAAGAGCTCTGCAGAAAAGGCCAGATCCTACATGGTTGACCTCAGTTTAAATCATGGCTTCAGTGGCAACATGCCATGCAGACACGTGTGTGTGCCCAGGTTCCTGATGGGATGGAGGATAGGGGATTTTTACAGGCCACATTGTAAGCGTGTTTTCTTTCTCTCTCTTTGTCCCTTTCTTTCTTGTGTGTGTACGTGCCCTCTGACTTTAAAAAAGCAATAATAAAATAAATTCCAAACTTCTTTTCTGGAAGCTCCATTCTTTTATGTACCTATTATAGTACTGTGTATAGAGCTGCCAGGAAGCAAGGTAAAATTCCTTTGTCAGCTCTTGCTGTAAAACTATGTCTCTGTTTTATTCTCTTTTTCTGCTCCCAGGTTGTGTAGTAGAATGTGAACCTCCACTGTCCAACTGTATCTGTTATGTAGGATTCTGGCCAACAGAAGATTCTGATTATTATTTTTTTCTTTCTAAATGCTCTGTGAGGAAGCTTTGTTGACTTTCCATAGGTCAAGCATGACCAGGAGAGTGGAAGTCAGGTTGCACAAATATAGCTCATCCTCTGCCATATGGATCATGAGCGACAGGGTTGGAGGGGTCACTTCTCAGAGAAAGGGGAGGTTGGAGGGATGAATACTTCAAGGATTCTGAAAGGGTCTCACAGTAGATTCTGTGTTCTTTGAATATAGAGAGGATTTTATTATTAATCGTCATCTGGATTTTCCCCAACCTGTAATATCTGGGACAGTGCTCAGCACATTTATGTGGCAATAAGTCGAGAGTAAATAGAATGCCCAGTGAGGTCTACATTTGGTTTCTGATGAATGTTACCTAGAAATAATCAACCACTAACTCTTGACAGTGATGAACTCAAGTGGTTCCTTTTTCTCACTTACATACTACACTCAGAAGTAAGGATATATTTTTCCTGCTAAAAGCAAAAGCTTTTTGCCTTTTCTGACTTTACTTTTTCTTTTTGAAGAGGCTAAGTTTAATTAGCTTTTCAATTTTAGGAACCACTCATGCTTAAGTGTCTTTTATCTAAGTGGTGATGTTCTTTGGTTTCAGACTGACATCCTGATAAACCTTCATAACTGAGCCTGCATAAATGGCTTCTGTGAAAGTGACCATGAGAGTGTTTTAGGTGACTTTATTTTCACTTTAGGACTTTATCCCTGAGGCTATTTAGTAGTAGTAAAGGTGGGATCTGATATCTTGTTTTATTTTTTTTTCCCCAGAAAAAAGTAAAACTGGGCACTCACGAACTTGACTCTGTGTTTGTACATTAAAAGCTGGCTCTAGTTATGGCTTCCCAAGCTGAGGTCACTTGTTTTTCTGTGCCTCTGGGAGCTGTTCAATTGATTTTTTTCCTCCTCTCCTTACTACTCTAAGGCAACTTGTCATTTGACACAAAATCTGGCTTTCTTTTCGCCACTTAGGCACTACTTCCACACTACTTCCTCATGGAATAGAAGTAGTTGAGGCAAGAAAATGGGAATTCCTCTTTGGTAGTTAAGTCAACAAATGTCTCCTTGAGATAGAAGCAGTTCTGAACTTCCAGCATGTTTCAATGTCTCTTTGTGATCCAGCATAGACTACTTCACTCCTCTGATCCTAAATTTATTTATCCACAGAATAGGAATCTTAATGTATTCCCATAGATGTGTGTGAAAGGCATGTTTGAAAACTTTCAGTGAATTGAACACAGGTTAAATTTTACAAAGCATGTTCTCTTTGTTTTTTAAAAATTAAAGAACAATTATAATCACATGCTTCCTTATCATACTTGCTTTTTATGATTATATGTTTATTTCTTCAAACTCAAGTGAACATATATAGTCCACACAACTAGATTTTCAAGTAAAATAAACTCAGAAGTTCAACTCCACAAGTGGTTATGTGCTAGGCATTGGGTAGGAAGCTCGAGACACAGTGGAAATGAAACATAATTCACGAGATTAGACTGTGCTTTGTGCGACTTTACTTCTGGGACTTCTAGCTCAAGAAGGAAAACATGACAGACAATGAATAAACAAATGCTAATGCTAAAAATATATAGAGTCCATCTTGGTGTTCAGTGTTCAGTGCTATGCCCAATGCTGAGAAAGATGTTATTTTAATAAAAACTAGTACTTATAAGAACATAATACACACCCAACATTGTGTTGTGTTACAACTGCACCAATGGCTGGCCTCAGATTTTTATGTCACCTTTGTATATTTCAATGTTATTGAATTAATTTATTAATTTTAACAGTTTTTTGTTCTTGTAGTCCTTAGGGTTTTCTTTTTCTTTTCTTTATTAAGCGTGGCAACTTGGCAGCTTTTATTTCCCTGGTTCAGCTGATCTTGTTATTTAGATTGCCTTTTATTGTCATATGAAATTACTAAATAATAATTGTACATATGTATGGGATACAATATGATATTTTGGCACATACATACAATGTGTAAATGATAAAATTAGGATAGCTATACCAATCATCTCAAACATTTATCATTGCTTTGTGTTGGAACATTCAAAATCTCTTCTACTTTTGTTGAAACATGCAGTAAATTGTTGCATATAGTCGTACTACATACAGTATTATTGAATTATAAATCCTACTGCTATTTGGCTGTAATTTTATGTCCATTAATCAAACTGTCCCAATCTTCCCCTCCCCACCTACCCTCTTCACCTTCTAGTAACTACTAGTCTACTTTTTATTTCCACAAAATAAATTTTTTAGCTTCCACATGTGAGAGAGAACATGTAGTATTTGTCTTTCTGTACCTGGTTTATTTTACTTGTCCTCCAGACTCATTCATACTGCTGTGAATGACATGATTTCATTCTCAAAAGCACAGACAGCAAAAATGAAAAAAAAAAGGGATTATATCAAACTAAAAAGCTTCTGCTCACTAAACAAAACAATACAGTGATGATACAACCAACAGAATGAGAGAAAATATTTGCATCTGACAAGGGATTAATATCTAGAATATACAAGAAATCCAAATAACTCACCAGCAAAAAACCCAAATAATCCAATTTAAAGAACTGGCAAATAATCTGAATAGACATTTCTTTAAAGAGGGCATACCAGTGGCCAAAAAGTATATGAAAAAATGTTCATCATCACTAATCAACACCACAATGAGATACTCTCTTAACCCCAGTTAGAATTATAAGAAAGACCAAAAATAACATATGCTGGTGAGGATGAGGTGAAAGGAGAACTCTTATACACTGTTGGCAGGATTGTAAATTAGTATAACCACTATGGAAAACAGTAGGAAGACTCCGTAAAAAACAAACAAACAAAAAAAAACAGAACTACTGGGGCAAGCAGATGGTGTAGTGGTTACATTACTGGAATCTAGAATTATAAGAAAGACCAAAAATAACATATGCTGGTGAGGATGAGGTGAAAGGAGAACTCTTATACACTGTTGGCAGGATTGTAAATTAGTATAACCACTATGGAAAACAGTAGGAAGACTCCGTAAAAAACAAACAAACAAAAAAAAACAGAACTACTGGGGCAAGCAGATGGTGTAGTGATTACATTACTGGAATCTCACATAGGTAGCCGTGGTTTGAGTCCTGGACCTGGTAGCTTGAAAATCATGCTGGGAATGTGCATGCACTGCTCAAGATCTCAGAAGAGACAGAAGAGAAGGGATTGCGTGACCATCTCCCCTGGGGAGGCTTATTTCTCACTTTCCTTCTCACTGTCTCTGTCTTTCTCTTTCCTGTGAGTGCATGCCTTGTGGCAAGCACCTCTTAAAAAAAAAAAAAAAGAAAGCTACCACATGATTGGCAATCTCATTATTGGGTATGTAGCCAAAGGAAAGGAAGTTGATATGTGGAAGGGATATCTACATTCCCATGTTTATTACAGCCCAGTTCACAGTAGTCAATATATTTAATGAGCCTAAATGTTCATCTACAGAAGAATGAAGAAAGAAAATATGGTGCTTATATACCATGGAATAATATTCAGCCAACTATATAAGAACATATCAGCAAACAGAAAA